GGGATGGAGGAATGTCAGAAAGGATGTACGCCATGCCCCCAATTTAGATACATATGCCAAGGGCTCTTGGGCCCCGAGAACCTTCAAGAGCCGAAAGCCTTCCATTCAAGTAGTTTCGAGTATAGCAAGTAAACGTACTGCATGATGCGTCAAATTAGGGGACCCCAACGGACCCCACCAATGGTGCTCCTTCTTGGTTTCCCTTCGCATAAATCAAGGTGATTAAAGGGCGCCCGCCAAACATCACACCTAGATACCAAACGCTGGCCCGATGTAGACGGGTGCGAAAGGCCTGGGGCGGGCTGGAGTCACTGCGACGAGTGGGAGTTTCTCATTTGTCATGCTTGGGGTTGGAGAAGCCAGGACCCATTTCACGAGAATTGTGCTCAGGGATTCCTTCCAAGATGGTTGCTTAAAGGAGACGTCCACATAAAAACGGCTTGCTTAAAGGAGACGTCCACACACAACCGGCTCTACAAAGGGATGTATTGAAACAGCTGGCACCTGGGTGACGTGTTTTGCCCCGAACCCTGGCCGCTTCGAGAGGCAACCTGCGAAGTCCGAGGTTCGAGCAAGGGGCTGAGCTTGCCGCTGGGCTGGGGCCTGCGCTTGACCGGTGTCCCCGGAGGTCAAAACTGAAGACGGGCTGCTGGCCAAAATGGGATTCCACATGAGTCACATGACCACAGATCACACAAGCTGCCAGGTGATTGTGATTTATCCCCGGAAAAGTGATCAGGATCCCCTTCCACATGGAACACCCCTATTCAGCCAGCTCTACACCCGCCCCCCCCAAAGCACCACCCAGGCCCGCAACAAAAGAATCCAACGGGGACAGGCTGGGCATGGCAAAAACAAGAGCAAGTAAGGCCTGAACAAAGGATGGCATGCAGCATGACCACCAGCAAACGTATGTGCTCAAATATGAACACGTCACATCCGCATATACTGCCTCAATTGATTGTTTGTTGCCAGGTATACGGAATAGTTACTTCAATTGTACCCTGTTGCAGGAAGGGAAAAGACACATATGATTGCATTATAGCCATCTGATTCACAAACATAGCGAGCCCCATTAAAATTTGGCATAGCCCGCCAAGTGGCAAGCATCCACCCTTCGCGGAACGCCTGCCTATCAAAATCCAATGCCTAGCGCAATGTTGCGTTTTGGTGATTGTCTCTGGAATCAGGGAGCTTCAGGAAAGTCGACCGTGAACCCTTTGCATCCAAGCAGGAAGCTGCTGGGCTCGGTATGTTGAGTAACAATATGAAACAATCAGGCAGCCAATAGGTATAGCACACAAGAGCTTCCTTTTCTCACTTTTTCACAGCTCTTCGGGTCGCATGGCCACAAAGAGGTGGATTCCTTTGGCAAAAGTGTGCGGCGTGTCTCAAAATCCTTGGAAGAGACCTGTCGGTGGCCTAGCCAAGAGGAGTGACTGACATTTTGTGCGTGCTTTGCTTCTGGGGGTAATTACCCGGTTCCCATTCTACAAGGGAAGTTCAAAGGGAAAGGCCCATTGTGGTGGGCTCTCCCTCATTTTGAGACATGTCCAGCAAGTCTGTCGAAGCATCCGTGCCCCCTTCAGCTTCCCTTGGGCCCAAAGGCCAGGCTTGCGGGGGGGGGGGGTTCCGTAGGAATACGTCCCTGCAAATGGTTGGTGGATATGAAGCCTCCACATGTCCAGAGAAAAACCGATCATCTTTCAGACCCGAGAACCAAGCGGGATGGTAAACTGCAATCCACCAGTGCCTTACCTTGAGAATGGGATTCCTCAAGAAACATCTTGCTTGAGACCTGCAGTGGCTTCAATAATTACCGCTAAACATCAGCACTGCTAGGCAGTCCGAACGGCAAAACCCAAGGCCGCGCACCTCTGACCTATGAGGCGACCATAATCAAAAACATTCCGGACCTAGGACTGTAAGGAGCAAAATAAAAGCTTGTTTGTGCGCCGTGTGTTTTTGTAGTTTCTTCGAACCCACTTCCTTTGGTTCCAACCGAACCTGAATCTTTGAATGGTGCAAGTTTGCATCGGATAATTACACCTCTTCCCAATCCAGTCGACCTTTGCGTTTCGTTGTCTTACAGGCTCCGTGAAAAATGCAAAAACCCAGAGAGGACACCTCGATCAACTCAGCAGCTCGTTGGTTGTGTTGGCCTTTCGGCTTCCGAGATCTTCCGAGGGGGCGACTGCGGACGCGCGAAAGTGAAGTCGCGTGAAAGCCGAGGCTCGGCACACCTGGCGAAAAAAATATCTTCGCCTCAGGTCGAATATCGATTCAATGGATTCGCCCAAGACCCTGAATCTTGACTTGCCACTAAAACCATGTTCCGCCACAAATTGAACTGTTGGCGTTTTCTGCTCTACCCTTTTTGGGGGCGGGCTGACAGGAGAAGGGATACCACCGTTTAGAGACATAGGAAAGCCACGAGCTTGGCTTTCGAAAGCTTCGGGATTTGCCTTGACACTCTTCCAACATCTACCTCTCTGCTAGACCTGGCGGGCTTGCTGTGGGATACCTTCCGGGGGGCTGTTCTTCAAAGAAACGCGAAAAACCAACTTGACAACGCCATGGGTCAGGGCCCGTGCACCTGCAAGATGCCGACTACACTTGGTCAATGTTCAACCCCACACCTAGGATTGGAGTGTGTGTGGTTACTATCGTTCAGAAAGGGGTTATGACCCAGCACAAAGGAAAACGCTATGCAACAAACAAGTGAACCACAAAAAACGTGACATGTCATGTTGCCTTCAATCTACGTTTCGTAAGTCAGATGATGCCTCCAGACAACACAAATTGTTTCCGGTCCATAGCGAAGCTTGCAAGATGCAAGTAACCTAAGTTCAGAAGAGATCCCAGTTTCTCAGCACCTTGTGATCCCCAAATCTAGCCCCAGGGGCTTGATGGAATATGGCTGTGGGTCAAAAATATGTACCCAAACTGGAACCCTGGGAAATGTCAACTTGGATTGCAACCTGCGGTCCCCTGGTAGTCAAAATTTTGCTCACAGCCATATATTAATATACCCATTGTGGAATTTGGAACCCCTGGATCCCGGTGTGAAAATGGACACCTTCTTTTCGAGCAGGTGCCTTCCGACCCTGGCGGCGATTATCCAGCTAGATGTTCTTGGCTCAGCTCTTTGAGCCGGAGCCATCGATTCTGATATGCCCCTAGTGGCATGCCTGCAAACAACTGGATTGACGTTGGAAGGGGAGCAACAAAAATAATAATAGCAGTTAAGTGGGGTTTTCCCACTAAACCACAATAATAAGCAACAATGTAAAATGTTTCCCAACAACAACCATGACAAAGCCAAACACATGTAATATGTATATGCATTCATGTGTATTGATATGTTTATGCATGCATGTATGCATGTGCATATGCAGTCGTACGCATGGTTGTGCGTCAGTATGCATATGTGCGTAGTTGTGTATTATATTTATGTATATGTTACTGTGTGTGTGTGCTGCTGTGTGTGTGTGTGTGTGGCTGTGCGCGTATATCTATTGATGTCTCTGACTTCTCTATCAATCCACACCGCAATCCATATCTGAACCTTGAAGGCATCCCTAACCCCTTGCAACAGTTGGATTTGTGAGTCGGAGACTGAACTGCTCGGAGTTCAAAATCACTCAACCCTAGACCGTTGAAGGGCATACGCTCTGGGGTTTTTTGTGCATAAACCTTAAGCACTTAGCCCCCAATTGCCTGCCATTGGTCTCTCTTCTCACCGCACCGTATTCATCCATGAGTTATGCCAAAGTGCAAACTATTCCCATTAAACATACCCTTCTCAATTTGTAAATGTAGTCAATGCAGCAGCTCCAATTGACCATCATCCTGAACAAGCATCGATCACATTCTCAAAGCAGATAATTGGAAGTTACTTGTACTCGCACGAGTAGTTAGCCTATCACAGAGTGTTATAGTGTTGGCAATGCGGAAACCAAGAGCAGTAGTCACGGGGTGTGCACTTTCACTCTTAGATACAGTTGGCCAGCCCTCATGCCGCAAAAAATGCGACCCCAACAAAGACAGCGATGATGGACTGCCTGTCATGCGACAAGCTCTTGCTGCAACTGGGCAACGTTGTTCGGTATCAATGCTTGTCCATTCAATGAGCACTTTGGCGAGAATTCACTGCTCACATGGGGCGCGCGATTCATCGATTGAAAATATGCAAAGTCGGGCAAAGCGATTGCAAAACCTGCGGTGCCCGGCCCACTCCCCTTTGGGAAGGCCGAGGCGAGCGTGGCTGGGCCGAGCCGCACCCCAAAACACGTTCAACTGTTTCCTTTCCACAAGGTCTGCATTCCCCAGAAAGAATGGCCAACTTTGACCCGGCCAGGAACTTTGAAATAATCCACGCGCGTCGCAAGACACGCGGGTAGTCAGCGCGCTAAAACAGCGCGAAGGGCAGAGAGAAGTTGCCGATGGCTGTCTCACAAGCTACGCATGGCTGGTTGCCTACTGCGCTGGCACAACTGGGACCCAATGCAAGGACTAGCCTTCAAGTTGGTGAATCTACTTCAACATTTACATACGTATGTCTGATGAACAAGGGTTGACATTGCACTCTGTTGCATGGAGCCCCGTCAGTTGAATGTTGGATGTCACACCTTTTGGCGTATCGAGAAGGCCGTGGATGCACAACATATGCAACATTTTGAGGTCGCAGGCGGGCAAACAAAATGCATGAAAGCGCTGAGTTTAGGGGCCTGGGTACGCCTGGGGCATCCAAACAGGGGCCAAATTGCCGCTTTTGCCGCTCGAAAAAGGGCCACTCTTTAGGCGGCTATCTGGGCCTGAAGCCAAGGAAATGCTCGGTCACCTCGAGCCTATCCCCGGCTTCTATGCTGAAGCTGAGAGCTGCACTGAAAACATGGCTGTCTGTTCATGGCTTTCTTTTGTTGTATTGGGTACTTTGATTTGCTGATTGAATACCTTTCTGTTTTGCAGTTCCGACAACCCAAATACTCAACAAATCG